AGAGAAAAAGAAAATAAAAAAAATTAATGAACAAAAAAAAGAAAAGAATTCACGCGGACGAATGGACGTCTAATAATTCACCTGTAAACGCGGTGAACAGGCGGGGGTTTGGGGGAGAAGGGGTTGGGTCATTTATCCTAGATTAAATATGGTTATACGAATCCATGTATATGTATGAAGATCGATGACGACAATTAAAAGTTGATCTATCCTTGTTTTGAAGAATAGAGAATCGGTGGTGGTGGTGGTAGTGGTGGTGGTGTTGGTATTAGTATTAATAGAAATGGCAGAAACGATTAATAATGATTGTTACAACAGTTGGATAGTTAGTAGTTACATATTAGCAGTTTCTCTCATGTCAGTGTTTCGTCAGAGTCGTCCAAACGTGACCAAGTTGTCCAACGAGATTTCTCATAAGGGGGACAGGAGGGGGTTGGTAGGGAAAGATAAAAAAAACGACAAAATATGGATCAATCGATCAACCGATCGATCGATCAGTTTTTTTTTTTTTTTGATCTTTATACCTTTTCCACTTTTTTTTCGAAAACCAAGCAAGTAAATGATAATAACTGTCCTTGTGTTGCAATCTATTGGTATAACTGTATGTATACGTGTATAATGTGTATAATGTGTAAATGTGTGTAATGAAAGGGTTATCCTTCTTTTATAGGAACGATTAGGTATGAATTTACGGTTGTAGAAGATGATAAAGTATATATTTTTCTTTCTCCTTAAGTTAATAAATGCAAATGAATCTATTTATACATTGTATTTACCATCTGCACTTTGCATAGAAATAATATTTTGCGATAAGCGTGTTTTTATGTCAATACTTATTCATATTTATCCTATTTAGATTGATTGTTAGTTACTTATTTTTGTTCTTTTTGTAAATGACGATGATAGTTTGTAAATGAATTATTGATATAGGTCGATATACTTTAAAATTGTGACAAAATAAATAAGATAATTAACCGGATGATATTAGAAATGGGTATAAAAATATTTTGAAGTATTGATACAATAATTCTTCATAAAAAAAAAAAAGATAATATGTTAACATATATATATTATATATATCAAGACTGTTAATGTGTTAACAATAATTATTTATAAAACTGTTAATATGTTAACAAAGTTAAAACCACTTTAAATCTACTCTTATTACAATTATATATATATATTATTTTTATTTTATTTTTCATTAATTTTTGTGTTCCATTCACATGACAGGTTTCCCGAATTTACAAGGACCGATCAATTGGAAATCCTGTTAGCATATTCGTAACAAAAATTGTACACGCTGACAAAGTGTTTGGAAAAAGTTATGACGATAATTATGAGGTAACTGCTATAGACATGTTGAATCAATTTTGTCGTTGGCAAAAAATTAACAATCCCGATGAACCATCACCAGAACATCACGATGTGGCATTACTTCTTACCAGGTTTGTTAAAATACAAATTCACACAAAGAATCGAAAGTATTCCTAAATGATTTCTTTTTCTCAAACCCACCCACCCCTACCCCTTATTTTTTTAAATAATTTTTATTTTATTTTCAAATCAAACCTATAATATATAATGAACAATTATTTAAATGCGTATACTTAGATGAACCTTATATCCCAAAATACCTAATTTTATTTCTTCTAATATTATAAACTTAGAAACTTTTGAATATTAAGTTAAATATATATATATATATTTTTAGACATAACCTGTGCCTTAATCCTGGAGGAATACGTTGCGATACACTTGGTCTTGCCGAATTAGGCAAAATGTGTTCCCCAGATGCGTCCTGTGCAATCGTACAAGACAATGGTTTGGCTGCAGCGTTCACTATAGCTCACGAAATCGGTCATGTGTAAGTAAAAACAAATAATACATTTCATTTATTAATTTTCAACATGAGATAAAATATTTTTATTTATATGTAAAAAAAAAAGCTATAAATACATATATTTTATTTTAATTTATTGTTTATATATATATATAGTTTAAACATGCCGCACGATGACGATTCCAAATGCGACGAATTTCGTAATCATTCGAGAATACACAAAGTCATGTTCAGGATGCTGGACGATGAAACCTTTCCTTGGGAATGGTCTAGATGTTCACGTCATTACGTTACAGAATTTCTCGAGTAAGTAGAACATAGATTATCAAAATGGTCAAAGAGATCGGTTCTATTTGAGGGTCACCCTGTATAATAATCAACGCGAAACGTTCACCCTCTTTGGAAAGTTCAACTTCTTTCTTGGACAGTCGTATACAGTGTGACGATGATGATGACTCATTTATCGCTTAACTCAATAAGGAGACACTTTCTTGTTCTCTTATATACGAGGATTAAATAAAAGCTAAGAGAATGATTTGTCTCTGCCAAAGATAATAATAATAAAAGGAAAAGGAACAAAAAAAAAAAAAGAAGAAGAAGATGATGATGAAGAACAGAATAACGAATCGACTCAATTTCAAAAATGTTGCAGTAGTTACTGTCATCGTCTATTTGAATTGACCCAACGAGTTATTACACTTTCGTTCAATGTAAAAGAATGTTTCACGAGTCGAATCATATTGGAATATATTTCTATACTTCTTTTTCTTTTTTCTTCTCAACAAAACATACTTACTACTGTATTATTTGGGTATCATAGAAAAGAAAAAAAAAATAATTTCAACTTCCGAATTTTCGTTTTTTTCTGATATAAGATATTATTGGACGTAGAATGTTTGCCGTTAAAACTCATGTTTGCATTGTTTCACGTAAAATAAGATTTCTTCTAATAGAAATACATATATATTTTCAAATTGTGTTGTCCGATACAGTAGGAATATAAAATGAAAAAATAAAAAAGAAAAAACATTAACGTTATTCGATTATAGTGTCAGATAATATAGAAGGATTAATCGCGTATTTATTAAAAGATACCAATTTCATCTTATAATAGAAAACACACATTCGTAGAAAGGTTGAATGAATTCAGTTCGGTCCCGTGAGCACTGTATAAAGTGAGCCAGTGTTACAAGTTTTTCTCTCTCAAAGCAGAAGAGAAGAGCTTCCTTTGCTTCTCCCCGCTTAGGAATCCGGTTTCGCGAGATTCTAACTGAAGAGTTCTTTTACCGAGCACAGGGTGTTGTTTCGTTCATTTCCAAAAGTTATACTTTAATTTAATTAAGATCGAAAATCGAACACGATAATAATATAGAAATTCATTTTCTCGATAGAAATTTCATGATATATAATATAATACATAACTTTTAAAAGACTAATCTCTATAATATAAAAATGACTTTTGTATTGAATTTGATAACAGAACAGATCGTGCCAACTGTCTATTGGATGAACCCAGCAAGAGTATACAAAAACCAGACGCAGCACGACTACCGGGAATTGATTATTCACAAAACAAACAATGCGAATTGGTATTCGGTCTAGGATCGAAGATTTGCCATGACATGGTGAGTAATGGTAAGTCACAAACGTTCCTTCGAACGATTACAGAATAAGGAGTAAATTATTTTAACTTTAATTAACACTTTTCTATCAAGAAATTAAGAACAAAAAAGAAAAAAAAGAAAAAAGTCAATAAATTAACAATTTCTAATTGATTGATCGATGTACGCGTACGTAAAAAAAAAAAAAAGTAAATGAAACAATTGGTCGATTATCGGCCAGTCAGTGTGCAGGACACTATGGTGTACCGTTCCAATGTGGGACGACCTGTGTCACACAGAACACACACCCTGGGCAGATGGTACAAGCTGTGGTAGAGGAAAATGGTGTCAACGTGGTGAATGCGTATCGAAAATGGATTTAAATCCTGTTGACGGAGAATGGGGTCCATGGGGTCCTTACGGGGAATGTTCACGCACCTGTAGCGGTGGAATTAAGAAAAGATATCGGGAATGTGATAATCCACCACCACAAAATGGTGGAAATTATTGCGTGGGTGAACAAGTCAATTACGAAAGTTGTGGAACTAAGGAATGTCCACCTGGTAGTCCAGATTTTAGGTATGAAAACAAATCAAATGATAATTTTCATGTTAATCTGTTCAAAATTATCTACGAATAAGGAATTAAATGTTTTTATCGGAGTTGTTCGTTATTAGGGAACAACAGTGTCAGGAATTCAACAACAACAATCTTAACATCCCTAATCTAGCGAGGGATGTAATTTGGCACGCGAAATACGCTCGGAGTGAGTCTAATTTTTAATCTATACCACAAAAAAAATACAATGTAAAATAATACAATATTAACGAATTATTTTGCGATAACTGCATTCATTCATTTGCAATATTTTTAACATTTTATATACTTTTTTTATCGCAAATGCTATATTCTTGCTTTCATTTTTTATATTTAAAAACGTATGAAAAAGGTCGTATAGGGCAATACTATAAATGAAACTAAACGATAACCGAAAAACTTAACATTTGGCAGATAAGCTTTCATGTTTATACATTATAAACCGTCAGATAAAGTAATTGCGTGCATATGGTAAAAGAAACTTTTGAAACAACTTTAATAATATGAATTGGATGATATTATTATTATTAATCGCGATTTGATTGCTCGATCAAAAAAAAAAAATTAAAAGATACCTTATTTTAATATTCGAAGTCTAAATAAATTTCGAAAATTCATTAAATAATATCTTAGGATACGCTAGTGATGCTACGTAATTATATCGTCTATGTTCAATCAAAAATCACAAACTTAACATTTGCGTTAATTCGAGCTAAATGAAAAAGTTAATGATAAATATTAAGTTTGATAAAAAGTATGCTAATTTTTGTTAATACTCGTTAAAACATTACTACCGATCGATACTTTATAACTTGACGAAATTTAAGAAAAGAGTAATATTTCTCGATGAAAAAAAAAAAGTAAATAGATAAAAATATAATATCGTCTGTTAATGATTTTTGATTGTTAATAGATAATATAATGATCAACAATATTTCCTACTCGATCGCTTCTGCATGGCATGAATTCTGGTTGGTCATACATAATATCTTTGAATTTTACTTATAATAGTATAAAATCGTTATAATTATACGTTCCAGTACAACCGGAAGATCGTTGCAAATTGTATTGTCAAGTAGAGGGCAATCAGTATTACATGCTTCGCGATAAAGTGATCGACGGTACGCCCTGCGGACCGGACACGTTTCATCTCTGCGTGAACGGTCGTTGCAAACCCGCAGGATGCGATAACATTTTAGATTCGACAGCAGAACTCGACACATGCGGGGTATGCCGTGGTGACAATTCAACATGTCAGAGAATAAATGGTTCTTACAATGTAACCGCATACGGATATAACAGAGTTACCAAAATACCTGCTGGAAGTAGCAACATCGATATCAGACAACACGGCTGGTTTAAATCCCATTATGATGATAATTATCTTGGTAAGATGTGTGTGTGTGGTATTATATAATTAGGGCTTATCACAAAATATTCATATAATATTTATTTAGATTCTTTAAATATTTAACAATTTACAATTATTATTTTTGAAACCGTTTCAAGCACTAAATTTACGTACATATGTAAACAGCAATAAGTGCATTCAAAATCATATTTATCATAAAGTGCGCATCATTGGTTGCAAGCTTGGAGTTATTTTTTTTTTTTTAATTTATCAAATAATAATAATAATAATATATAGATATGAAAAAACGATCAAGTATTTTTATCTCAATGTCATAAAAGTTAATAAAGATAACATATTCTTTTAATTGTTATTATTATTTCTTTTTTTCTTTAATTTAAATTTGAACGAACACAAATTTTTACATACAAATATTTAGTAAAAATCAAAGCTAGCAATTTGTGTCCTTTAATAAATCAAAGATAGTATCTTTCGTCGTAAATCAATGAACATCGGTTTTTTTAATAAAAATATTTGCTGACCCCTGATCTATATTATGATTTTATCTCACTTAGCAATAAACAATATAAATGATTGAATTATATTTGTAGCTTTACGTCTCGGTGAACATGGGGAGTATATACTAAATGGAAATTTCGTTATAATGCATAAAAAGGTTGTAGTATTTCCTGGTGTTACGATTGAATACAGTGGACCTAAATCTATCGTCGAAAGATTGAATAGTTCACGACCTATTAGCACGGATTTGATTTTAGAAGTAGGTAGTATTACTTCAAAATAATTAAAATAATATTTCAATGAATCTTTAATTCCCCCCCCAAAAAAAAATATATTCTTGGTAGACGAGTAAAAAAATATAAATAATAATTATTAAAAATATTGCATATAAATTTTCTTATTATATATTATGCACGTAAGTGTTATAAACATATATGTATACGTATATACCGTAAACAAAAAAATATCAATTTAATATACAGGATGAAATATTATATACAAAATATTTAAATGTCTTCGTGTTTAGACAATTTCATTTATAGAACTTAAATTAAATTATTTTAACATAATTTTTCTTATTTTACTCGTCCACCAAAAATATCATATAAAATAATAAAAAATTGTTAATTATACAATATATTTCTGTATAATTTATAGGTATTATCAGTTGAAATGTTGCATCCACCGCAGATAACATATGAGTATACCGTACCGAAAAAAATATTAAACAGTTACAAATGGATATTGCGCGAATGGTCACAATGCAGTCGTATGTGCCAAGGTACAAAATATCGTAAAGCTGAATGTAGAAGTACCGAAAACGAGGACGTCGTAACTGACGATTATTGTCGTGCTGTTGATAATGGAATAAAACCAAGAGAAGAAAGTCAAATGTGTAATAGTCATTGTATGTTACAGTAAGTTATCATCGTGTCGTAAACAAAATGAGAGAGATTATTTTTTTAAACCAAAATTAAATTAATTAAAAAACTTTCTATTCTCAAATAAAAAACAACAAAATAACTTCAAAAATAAACAAACAAAATTATTACTTCTAGATGGCAAATAACATCAGAATCAGAATGTTCAAGTCATTGCGGTCTAGGAACTCGCATAGTTACAACTAGATGCGAACAAATTTTCTTGTATTCCAATCATCCAGTACGTTCATTACCTGACCATTTGTGTTCTCATTTGAAAAGACCTAACGAATTGGAACCATGTAAAGGTCCATGTAATGATGTTCATTGGAAATATAGCGAATGGGGAGCATGTAGTGTAACATGTGGAGGTGGTATTCAATATAGAATGGCAACATGTGTTGATTCGAATGATATACAAGTATTAAACGAAACTTGTGCCGGTCAAAAAAAGAGATTGAAAAATATCTGCGGTCAAGAAGCTTGTCCCAAATGGACATTCGGTGAATGGAGCAAAGTAAGATTTAAGACATTGCAATTTTTCTATAGATTTTTATATACATAAAAATATATAATATTATTATTTTGTGTTATTGTATTTAATTTTAATTTATATATATTCGATGAAATATAATATATAAAAGGGATATATTATTTATGTTAGTGCTCGGTAAGCTGTGGCATTGGAGAACGTCATAGATCTTATTGGTGTCACGTGGAAAATCGTATTGTCCCTCATAGCAATTGCAATGGCACTTTACAACAATTTTCAATTAAAGAAATTTGCGATGCTGGGCCTTGTTACTCTTGGCAAGTTGCCGATTGGAATCCGGTAAATTTTATATTATAATTATTATACCATATATTATAAACCTAATCAATTGTTAATTAAAAAAATATAAACACAGTACAGGATTCTATAATTTTGTGGTATTCTTATTTTTACAAAAATAACTTAACAGACGTATTAATAACATTATTAATTGTACAAATAAATTATTAACAAATTTTATTTTTTATCATTTTTATTCAGTGTTCAGTAACCTGTGGAGAAGGAATTAAAACGAGAAAAGTTATTTGTAAAGGTACGGATGGTTCAATCGATGACAAATGTTTACCATCGAATAAACCGGAAAATTGGACTTCCTGCGTATTAAAACCATGTATTACAGGGGTAAAATCAATATATGAATTTTCTTATATATATATATATATTATGTTTCAAATATTTTGCAAATTTAAATCAATAATTAATTACGTGTTTATACAGACAAATCAAATAATATATTCTAATATACCACACGAAGAATCCTATCCTCAGGATAACGAAATAGATAGCAATGGTATTAGTTTCCATCCAGTTAATAAATGGATCACTGGGTCATTTGGAAAGGTTTGTTCTACTTTTAATGATTATAATAAATCAAGAAAAAAAAAATATGTATATATATTTTGTATACGTAATTATGATGTTAGTACAATCAATTTTTTATATTTATATATATATATATTTTTTTTTTCTTCATAATAAATTTAATTATACTATAATAATATGGAAAATTATAATGAAAAATAAAAAGTATGAAAAATGATATACCGTATGTTTTATAAAATAAAGTGTTCGCAACCATGCAACGGTGGATTCAAGACAAGAACAGTAAAATGTATTTCAATGGAAACAAACATGTACATTAATGAAAATCTTTGCAATCCTGATGAAAGACCAGATAATACGATTACTTGTAATCGTCATCTATGTCCGATTTGGAACACTGGAGATTGGAGTGAGGTATGTTGAACTAATTCGATCGAATTCGTTTTGATAATTATTCTACAACTAAATACAGATAAATAGAAAATTGATATTTTTTACTTTCTGATGAGAAATACATCCATATATCAATTCGTTTATACAGTGTAGCGTTAAATGTGGTAATGGAATCCAACGTCGACAAGTACGATGTCAAAGTCCACGAGGAGGGGTTTTAAACGATAAAGAATGTTCAAGTAATAGGAGACCAAAACCTAAAGATACCAAACAATGTCATCAATCTTGTCGAACGACTAACAATCAAGGCAATCAGAATAATCATCATCCAAAAGTTAGCATCATTCGTAGATGGAAAAAGTCCAGTTGGTCTGCTGTAAGTATATCCTAAGTTGAAACCAACCAAAAAAAAAAACGTAACTCAATATATTATAAAGTAGAATGAGAAAAAAGAAAAAGAAATGATATTGTGATGAAAGATCACGGATCAATTGGGGTTCTTTAGGATGGCTACAAATTTTCTGAATATTTTCCAGTGTTCGAAAACGTGCGGCAGTGGAATAAGAACACGAAGAATAGAATGCATGATGAGCATAGGAAAGGATGGATTGGAAAGGTCAGTGAGCGATGAACAATGCACTAAACTAGCTGGCCTAAAAAAACCAAAAACTGAGAGACAATGTCAACGTAAACCATGCAATTATGGTTATATGTGGCAAGAGGGACCCTGGTCGGAGGTATAACATACTCCTATCTCGACAAAAGATACAACCATAACTATCATTTATCTTTTAAATTCAACCCGTATAAAATGTTCATTTACCAATGAATTGTTATTGAATAATTCAAACGCACTCAAATGTTTTACTCAAATGTATCAAATAGAAAACTATAAAATTTAAATATTACTTTCAACTCGACAATAAAACATAATAATATTATATTTTTCAAGTGTTCGGCAGAATGTGGGGATGGTGTTAAACGACGTAATATAACATGCCATAAAGTTAATCGTTACGGTTGGACTGATCCAGAAATAACTAAAGGTTGTTCAATGAATAAGAGACTTCATACAGAAGAAACATGTAAACTGCGTGAATGTAATGATACATATATTTGGAAAACTAGCGATTGGAAAAAAGTACGTAATGAATTATTCTTACAATGAAATATTTAAATATCATTAATATGTTACACAAACACACATAAATCAAAAATATATAATAATACTATTTAAGTATAAACGAAATAATAATATCTTGTAGTAAATCGTTAATTAATAACTAATTAAAATAACAATTATTTAATATAATTAATTGCAGTGCAGTCAACCGTGTGGCTTTAAAGGTAAACAAATACGTAAAGTATTTTGTGTCGACAGAAATGGTAATCCGGCATCAAAATGTCCATTAAGTTTAAAACCTAAATATAAACGCAATTGTAATCAACGAAGATGTCTTCCTCTCACCTGTATTGAAGCAAAGAAACGTTTCTCGACTTCCAAGGATGGAGAATATTCTTTATTTATTGGTGGAAAACTAATGTCTATTTATTGCCACGAAATGTCGACTTTCAAACCACGAGAATATTTAACATTACCGGCTGGTGATCGAGATAATTATGCTGAAATATATGATAAGAGGTACTATAAGCAAATATATTTTAAATAATTATCTTAGATAGTAAAATTACTAATAAAATAGACCGTGAAAGCAGTAAAATTCAATACTTAACCATTTTCAAAAAAAAAAAGTAAAAATAAAAGTATTTTTATATTATATATATATATGTATGTGAATGATGATCTTTCTAATTGTTTTAAAAATAGGCTACGATATCCAGAAACATGTCCTTACGATGGAGAAAGGAACGATAGTTGTGATTGTTTCACTCATGGAAGAACAATATCAGGTGTAACAATGTTCAAAAGAGTTCGTTTGGATCCTATCAAATTATATATTATAGGTAAACAGAAGATATTTATTCTCTTATTTGTTTTCTTCAATTAATACATATAAACGTACTTTTCATTTATTTTTGCATGCTAAAAAAAAATGTTGATCATTAATTTTTCTTTATTATTAATTAACAGCTGACGATTATACATTTTCTCGAACTAAAGGATTAAATCGAGTCGAATTTGGTAAAGCAGGAGATTGTTATAGTACTCGTTATTGTCCTCAAGGTCGTTTCAGCATTAATTTGAGTGGTACACATTTAAGTTTGTCACGAGAAGTTTCTTGGACTAATTCAACGTCTAGTAGTGTTCTCTCGATCAATAAAATAGTGAGCATTTCAAGATGATTTTATTTATTTTCTATAAAAAATTGTCTTATTCTTTTTTAGAATAAAGTTAGAATGAAAGTAAAATTAACAAACAAACAAAAAATTAATCGTTTCAGAATGATCAACAAGTTATTGGTAAATGTGGCGGTGATTGCGGATTTTGTATACCGAAGACAGGTTTGAAACTGGATGTTTTACCACCTTAATCGGTAAAATAACACCGTTTGATTCAGGTCTGTATTCTAATTATTTATTTTCATTTATTTTATTAATAATAATTAAAAAGTAATATTTTTTTTTAATATCTATTACGTTTATTATTAATATAAATAATTGACATATATGAATTTTACATATGTTTTTACAGTTTCCAGGAAAAACTGGAGGGATTTGAAAAAGTCTTCCATACAGAGAAATGTCTCTAAAGGAAAATTAATTAGGGCATTGTCATTGGACACCAAGAGTTGCCTAAAATGATTGCCTGAAATTACTTCTTATCGCCATATTTATTTTTTTTTCTTTGCAAATACGCTTTAATGAAAATTCAGCAAGAAAAAAATTGGTGAAAGAAGAACAATAACGAAGAGACTTATATTTTTTTTTTTTTATATATATATCAAGTAAAACAAAATACACATATATAACAAAAAAGAAGAAGAAGAAGAAGGATAGAACGAATCATTTTTAGAGTTATATCTATTGTTTTGCCAAAGAACGCGAGAGAACAAAAATGAATAACGATGTTACGTACTGTATACGCATACATCGTCGTGACTAGGAATCATTAGAATTATATCTAAGGTCGCATTTATACTTTTTGAAACCCTTAGGTGCTGCTACATCGAAATGAGCCTTTAAACATATATATATATATATATTTCTTTTTTTTACTCGTTTATTTATTGAAAATAAATGATTGATATTTTCGTGAAGCCTTATTTTAATAAAATACACACAGGTATACGCATATGTTTGCAATATGAGAAATTTAAAAAATTAAATAAAAATTCGAAAATTTAAAATAAAATAAAAATATTATTTAATAAAATAGTATATATAAATTTTTGATTTTTACTTTGATACCAGTTAACATACTGCATATACCTGCAGATATTTGCATGTTTAAAAATGCATAAAAATAAATTGATTAAAATTTAAATTTAAAAAGAAAAATAATAATAATTACTAAAAGAAATTTTTTTATCGATATATTAAGATGTTGTTTATTTTTTAGAAATAAATATCAAAAATATAGGCTCCATAATAATTAATATTGCTCGATTAGCACCTAATACATCCGTTAAGTATTAAATGCTGTTCTTATCATGTTCATCAGTATACATAGATCGAGGGATTAATCAAAATCATCACTGCCTCACTTATTCTGAATCGTTCCTTACGAAACAAAATAAATATTGTTCGTATGCTCTCTCTCTCTCTATCCTCGTGCGCAAAGAAAAGAAAAAGAAAACAGAGAAAAAAAAAGAAAAGAAAAGAAAAGAAAAGATACAAGGCGGGCCAAAAGTTTTTTTAAGTAATTATCAAAATTAATTACTTAAGGCAATTTAAACTAATTACTTCTTTTTATTTCCGTTAGATCTTTTAAAACACAAATCTAACGAAAAGTATAAAATATGTATAGAAAAGTGGTAATTGATTTAAAAAGAAAAAAAAAAACGAGAAAAATCATCTAATAATTTAAGGTACCAACGCACTATATAACTGACTTAATTATTATGACGCACTGCCATACTTATATCTTCCACGACGGATACACAAATGAATACAGAAATACACGTAATTATAACATAAACGAATTAACTTACGCGAAAAGAATTTTCTAAAAAAAAAAAAACAAAAAATATATTTGATCGTAAAGGAAATTCATAACATTAATAAATTGTATAAAAATAAATTACATAATAGTAGAGAACGACGTGTTCAATAAACCGTCGTTAGTCATGTCATTGTTTAAAAATGCAAATATTTTAACGCCGTAGTATTTTTTCTTTTAATTTTTATTATTGACTATATAATGATTACGTTATATATATATAATATGTTAAGTTTCGCAGCGTTAACAAATTAACAATTCTCGAAACACAACCGAACAGTATGTAATAATATTAATAATAATAATAATAATAATAATAATAATAAATAATAATTAATATTAAAAAAAAAATAACAGTAGTAATAATAATAGTAATAATAGTAATGGTAATAGTATTTCGAAAACTACGAAGGCTAAAAAGTTAATAATAATTAGATGAATTTGTGTTTTGATATAAAAAAAAAAAAAGAAACAAAACAAAACATAGCCTGGTGTAGTTCTTTATTATTATTGTTTTTCTTTTTTCTCATTCTCTCTCTCTCTTTCTCTTTTTTTACTTATTTGATCTTACTTAGTTAATGAAACAAAAAAATGCAAATGAGAAGAAGAATATAATAGTAGAATTTAACAAACAAAAAAATAAGTCTAACACTTTTTAGCACCCGGTACCAAAACAATCGTGGAGTACAAATCGTTAAGCGTAAATAAGATTTTTACGATTGTTTCGATAGACTGCCATAGTTAATTATTTCTCTCTGCGATAGATGATTAATTAAACATATAAATATATATACGTATATACCATACATATACAAACGTAATGTGCGATAAAAATATGTATGTTTATTTCTACTGTAATAATATATATATATATATATATATATATATACATATATATTGTATATTATATATAGAGCAAAAGAAACAACGTGACACCGCCATGTAATAACAATTTATTAACAATAAGCATTGCCAATTACAATTTTTTTTGCATAATTTATATATTTATATATACATATATAGTATATATTTCATCATATTGACCAAGGCTAAAACATTATCAAGCAAAATATATCATTTTTGTATGTTATTAACGAATTTTATCTTTTATAATATATTTTATGATTTTTTTTCTTTTTTTCTGTTTTTTAAATAACACCACGCCAACTATTACTGCCAGTATCGAAAGTATTCGTTTAAGTTTTAAATCTATATACTTTAAGTATTTTTAACGCTATATATATACATATATTGGTCTCATGTACTCGAATATGTAAGAACTTTCATCTCTCTTTTATCTAATTGTTATTATTATTTTTATCATTTAAGACTATACACCTTTTTCTCTTTTTCTCAATCCACTTTTATTTAATCGAGTATATATATGTGTACAAGTACATATATATATACAATACGTAACATTGTAGTATATTTTCCTATCCTTTTCTCTTTTTACATATTTACGTCAATCCTCTTATATCGTGATTGTCTGATATCGGGGTTTAAAACAAAAACAAAAACAAAAAAAGTGAAAGAGAAATTAATGCATTTATATTAGGGTGGTCCTTATTTTAGATATTTTTGAATTTTTATGCTCCCAGAGGCTCAGATGGTTCGAAATAAATAAAAACAAATATTCCCTAAGTGTCAATTATCTATTTGAATTTTAACCTTTGCTACACTACGATGTGTGTTTGTGTGTAAATTTTCTATTTAAATAATATGGGATTTTTGTCATCGAACGATCAATTTGTTATTCCGGATTAAATAATTGTTTGAGAGATATTACTGTAATACACTGATTAAATAACGTGAGATTTTAATTTAACGGCCGGTGGTTATTATTTAATTATACAATCACCTAATGAATTTTCATAATTATAGTATAAATTTTTTCTTACCTCCTTTTTTCTTCAATATAAAATTGGAATTTTTATAAAAAGAAAAAAAAACAAAAATATATAAGCGCAAAAGTATCAATTATATTATAGTTATCGTATTATGACTACTAATCTCAAACGAACTATACTTACGCATGCTTGAAGAAACTAGTCACTATTTGCCATCTAGTAAAAATTTGAACGTTCTGAATGTTAACAGCAAAGAATACAGAAGTACATGGAAGCTCACAAGTCCACTTTTCGCGTAACCAGAATCATCTTAGATAGTACCCTGACTACCAGTGGGCAAGAGAAGGTATTTAAAGCGATGACGGTATAATACTATGAAAGAATACAGAATTCTTTGATAGTATAAATAGTATAGTTATATTGTAATAATATTTGAAATAATTATAATTCATTTTTAGTGTATAAACATGTGTGTGCCTTCAGAAATGCAATTAAACATATATTTTAAAAAGTAGTTATTATTTGGAGCTCTAGTAGATGAAAATAAAAACGAGTAGATGATACATCCAACGATGATCACCTGTAACAAAAAGAAAACTATATTAGTCATACAGACAAGTGATACAATAGCCTGACATATAAATCGTCCAATTCGCAGGTGCACTTTTCAATTGAATTCTATATTAGTTATTTTGATCAAATCTCTATTCATCGTTGCAAGGAAATTAAATTTAAACGCGTGATTTTGCATTTACATAAAATAAATAAAAATAAAGAAATAGAGCAAAAGTAAAAATACTTAGTTACTAAAAAAAATTATATCTATTAATTATTGTGAAATACTTTTAAACTGCATTATATAGAAAAGAAAAATTGTAAATTTAATAAAATACGATTACAGTGAAAAATTTTAAAGACGAAACAAGAAAAGAGAAATTACTGTAATATTTACCGAACGTTATTTAAGCTTGAAAATTTAATAATACGAAAATTGTAATATTTTTGACTCTAATTAAACACATATGCATCTTTTAGACGATATAGACACGAATATGGTGTCCCAAAGAGATGGAATGGTCCATCATTTTCAATTACAACTACAAATTAATGACGAGCAAAAAAGTAATATAATAAAATATAAGAAATATGACTAGAGAGCTATTCTCAAAAGATTCAACAATGCTGTCGAACTTGAAAATAATTCATTAAGTCTATAGTTGCCCTCTTGAACCACAGTTACATGGGGGCTTCTTCGGCATTTAGCCTCTTCTTTCTTCAAGCCTACTGTCGGACATTCCCTACGTGCGAGCATGAAAAGAATCTTTGACCGAAAACGTCAATCGTTTCAAAAAGTATTCGCATAATTTGGCATATTACAACGATTAATGATATAGAATTAGAATCGTCCCTGATTATAAATGGAAAAAAAATGTAACCGACTCTAACGCAACCTTGAAAAAAAAATGTGATTAGTAAAACATCCTGAGCTTTTTACATAGAAAATAATTATTATCTTTTGGTTGAGAGATATCTCATCGCCGAAAGGAATATTATTAACTATGTAAAGTATCGATTCTAATCTAATACCAAATCATTATAATATGCCAGATTATGGTCGTACAATTTAGAAACGACTTAAAGACATTTTTACCCAATTACTCTCAACTGCTTATAACACTAATATAAATGAAATACACTTCACACTAC